TCACATTTGCCATTTTCCACTTATCTGGCACCATGCCAGTTTGTAGTGATATGTTGAAAAGATTAGCAAAGGTTTGCTAAAACTCCTCTTTACATTCCTTTAGAACCCTTGCATACAGTTCATCAGGGCCTGGGGATTTGTTATTTTTTAATTTATCTATTTGCCTAAGGACCATGTCACTTGTGACCCTAATCGTGCACAGTTTATCGTCCTGTTCCACATAATTTACAATTTCTGGAATATCGCTGGTATCCTCCTGTGTAAAAACTGAGAGGAAGTATGTGTTAAAACTTCTACACATTTCCTTATCACTGTCAGTGAGCTGACCCGAGGAACTTTTGAGTGGGCCTATCTTGTCCCTGATCTTACTTCTGTATACCTGAAAGAATCCTTTTGGGTTAGTCTTCGAATCTCTTGCAACTTTAACCTCGATAAATTAGACACATGTGCAACTCTTGGGTATCTTTATTGAGGAAACGTTTCGCCACACAGTGGCTTCATCAGTCCATACATAGGAGAAACTTGAAGAACAGGAGGAGAATGAGGTACTCAGTCCCTCAACCTTGAGTCGATGTGTTCAGTCCATCAATCTTGAGTAGAATACGGCAGATGAGCGGAGCAGCAGCTTATAAACCGTATGGTTATAAGCTTATAAATCGTACGGTTTATAAGCTGCTTCTCCGCTCATCTGCCGTATTCTACTCAAGATTGATGGACTGAACACATCGACTCAAGGTTGAGGGACTGATTACCTCATTCTCCTCCTGTTCTTCAAGTTTCTCCTATGTATGGACTGATGAAGCCACTGTGTGGCGAAACGTTTCCTCAATAAAGATACCCAAGAGTTGCACATGTGTCTAATTTATCAACATGTCGGTTCTCTGAACCATTCATCTACAAACTTTAACCTCATAATCTCTTTTTGCTTTTCTAATTCCTTTTTTATTTCTCTCTTTAACTGAATATATCGATTTCTTAATTGCCCCTCTCCTCTTTTGATTTGCCTATATATGCCTCTCTTTTGACCAATTAGATATTTTAATCTATTGTTCATCCATTTAGGATCATTTTTGTTTGATCTGATTTCCCTATTTGGAACATAATTTGACTGAGCAGCTAGAACTATGCCCTGGAAAGCGTCATATCGGCATCCATCACCACCTACCTGACCCTTAGTCAGGTCATTCCAGTTCAGCCCACCTAAGTAATTTTTCAGTCCTATGAAATCAGCCAAACGGAAGTCAGGGACAGAGACTTGATTGCCATTATTAGGGGAATTCCGTGATATATTAAAACTGAGTGATTTGTGATCACTTTCCCCAAGCTCATCATTAACCTCAAGATTATTAATTAGTGTTTTCCCTACTGGCAAGAACCAAGTCAAGGAGGTTATTTCCCCTAGTTGGCTCTGTCACAAACTGTTTTAAAAAACAATCCTGGATCGTATCAAGAAAGTCACCTGACTCTAAATTTCCTGTCAAATTGCTCCAGTCAATCTGTCTATAGTTGAAATCTCCCATTAGCACAACATTTTCGTTTGTAGATGCCTTACGAATTTCGTCCCATAGAATTTTTACTGCACTCCCTATCAAGTTTTTGGGGCCCTTGTAAATCACACCCAAAATTAGTTTTTCTCGGCCTCGAGAAGCTGTAACCAAAAGATTCAGTGGCTGACGCTTCTAATTTTTTATCTTGTCTAACACACAAATTTATATTGTCTCTGGACTTATGTCGCTACTCCACCACCTTCCTGTTGACCCTGTCAGTGTGGAATAATTTATAGCCTTGTATGTGACATTCAGGGGGCATCTCTCTATCTTTCAGATTGGGGCCAGGTCTCTGTTATAGCAATAATATTATGTTTCCTGCACTTGCAATTAATCTTGGGCTCATTATCTTATTTCTTAAAACTCCTGCTTTTTAGTATAGTAAACCTTAAGGGAGCTAGTCCTTGCTGCCCTCTGCTGTCCCCCCTTTGTTTGCTGATCTGATCTATTGTTTTTATTTATAACTTCATGCTGAATCCCTTTTTATACATTGACTGTTCGAACCTAGTGTTGCAACCTGCTTGTTTCCCACACACACCCATACCTCTATCTTCTATCAGTTTAAAATCATAGGCATTTCACCAATGACCTTCTCAATCGAGTCTGCAAGTGCTACCACCCCAGCCCCAGAGAGATGTACCCCATCCCTTGATACATATCATGTTTGCCATAAAAGTTGTTCCAGTTGTCAATGAATGGGATTGCAAGTTCCTTTGCAGTATCTGTTAGCCAGCAATTTACACCAATTGCCTAGAAAACCCATTCATTTCCTACTCCCCTTCTAGGCAAGATGCTACATATGATTGGGCTCCCTCCCTTAGACTTAATGAATCTATAGTTGACCTGTACTTATCTAGCAGCTCTTCTCTCCTAACCCTTCCCAATATCATTCACCAGATGAGGACATAATTGGCTTGTTCCCATTTCTAATGATATTACCCAGCCGTTGACTATGTCCCCAACACCAGCTTCCAGGAAGCACCTCTATATCTCACCCTTCTTATTCCTATTACAAAAAGCACGGTAAATATATCATACCTGAGAGTCAACCAACACAAAGATGCGCTTACTCCATTAGCAGGGGAGTAGTACCCTTAACCTTCACTGGCCACTGAAGTACATTCATCCTGAAGAACAGAGAAGGGCGATTTCCTACCTTCAGATCTTCACTCTTAACTTTCCTTACTCTGATGCGCCTCCATTACTGTGAACCCCTCGCCACTTGTGGCAGGTGCTGGGCTGCACCTCACTGCTGGTAGCCGTTTTCTCCTCCCCCACCTACAGCCTCCTCACAGCGAGAGACAGACTGCACCTCACTGCTAGAAGTCTCATTTCCCAGAACTCCAGCCACCCCACACTCTCTCCCAGACCCATTGAGGTGGACCTTCAGCCTCCTAATCTCCTCCTGGAGAAGCAAGACCTCCTCCTTCAACTCTCCAACCTCAATTTTTAAAACACTGCAGAAGCAAGCCATGCTTTGTAACCGTCCACGCTAATCCCCAAAGCAGCTCAGGGTCTGTGACCTCACGTGACGACTGACCACTGATCACTTATGCACTGTTGTCTTAGTTTTAGATTACTGCTAACCAGAACTCCTTAATCCTTTTCGCAATCAGTAATATTAAATGGTGTTGATGTGTAGGACAACTGTCATTACAATAATGGTATATAGTACCATGCCCTTGATGATCCTGTTTAAGACACATGTGCAACATCTGGGTATCTTTATTGTAGACGTTTCACCATCCAGTGGCTTTATCAATACAAATTCTAGGACATAACTTGAAGACAGTAGAACTATGTACAGAAGATGAGGTAATCAGTCCCTCAACCTAGGAGTAGGTGCGAACAGCACCATAGTCGTGGAGATTCGTACACAACATGTGAGGTCTTGAATATTCTCTAGTCTGGTCGGTTCTGCTGATTACTGGCATAAGACGAATTTGTTGCCGAGTCTTAATAGTTGGAATGAGTGAGAGTCTTCATCCAGACTGAAATCCTGATATTCTCTCTGCTGTTTAAGTTGTTTCTACCGTCTTCCATTCGGGTGTATTAGTTATTTTACCTTAAAAACAAAAACTTGCTCGTGCGCACAATTATAACCATTTTTCCCCCTCCTCCTCCTCCTCCTCCTCCTCAATCCTCATCTCCTCTCGTCCTCTTCTTCCCTTTTCCTCCTCTTTATCCTCTCATCTAACCCTTTTCTTTTTTTGTCCTCCCAACCCCTAATCTCACCAATATCCTTCCCGTCCTTTACATCACCTTTTGGCCTCTCCATGAGTGCGTGACGAGAGCGGAAAAAAGATCCTGGAGGGAAGATGAGAGTGTGGGGAGAGTGGGATGAGAGTGGGAACAGGCCAGAGGGGAATGAGAGAGTTTGGGGTGAGGTTGGGAACAGGCCGGAGGGAGGATAAGAGTGGGACAGGCGGAGGGGGGATGAGAGAGTGGGATCAGACGGCAAGAAATTTGAGTGGATTGAAACAAAAACACGGAGGCAATTATTTTGCATTCATCTCAGTAACTGACGTCACTGATTCAGTAGTGATGGTCAGGCTCAGTGTCAACAAAAAATGAAATCTCGTCCTCTCTCTCTCACCGGTTGTCTCCCATTCTCCAGTAGCTGCGTCACCCCTGTGGGTTTAGCGCTTCCCCACCGAATTTATATTATATAAGTTAGGCAAAATTC